GTTGCTACATTCAATACAATATTGCAGATTTAGAAGAAGAAAATAGTTAGGTATAGTTTATTTCATTAGCTGGCAAACAAGAGCTCTACTACTTACGCATTTTCAGCAATTTCATGAGGGTGCTTCCAATTGTTTAGCCTGTCGCTCGTCATCAGTGTTTCCGGTTTTCCAACAGTAAGTGAAGATCTCTTGTAGTTTTAAATACCCATCACAGTATGATAAATGATGTCACCGTACCCTCAAACTGACCCATCACCTCTCATTTTTGACAAGAACTAGCTGTAAACCGTGTTTCCGTCACACTTGATCTATTAATCCGTTAACACATACATCCCCCTGAAATAAGGGTCAATCCCCGGTCTTCTCTCAGATACCTCTGAAAATAACTGTCTCGTGCGCTCTGTCATGTAGTCATCTCGAGTCCTCTCCAGTCATCTTCAGTCATCTCCAGTCATCTCCCAGTCATCTCGCCCGTGAACCGACAATCGGTCGTCCCAGGCCCCCTCCAAATCTCCCCCTATGGTCCCGGTTGTTTGAAGCACGTGTCAGGTAGACAGGGGCACACATAGGCGCCCATCGAGATCGGCCCGAGCCCTATAAGAGGGTCAGCTGTTTTCTGTTCAGACGAGGACTCTTGTGGAGATTGGTAGTGACACTCGTTTTAACACTTAGCGCGAGTTGAAAACAACTGTTAGAATGACGACTAATTATTGGGACGGCTGTTAGGACCTGAGAGTAGGGTTTTATGTCCAGATTATGTGTCTCGGTCTTTCTGTTTTTAGTTTGAAGGTCTCCGCAACAAATGAGGTCGTTTGTGATTAATAACTTCCGTGAGGTTTGCAAACGATTTCTTAGCATGCATTATTCGTGTTCAAGATTTGTTTATGCAAGGCTACTCCATGCACTTTTGACTCTAAAAATAGCCCACCTAAACAAACCATTATTTATCATTCAAATGAAATCGTTTGAATGGCTACTGTATTATGCGCATTTATTGTCGACTACAATTTTCGTTGCAAATGAACCACAATGATACATAACAATGCAACATGCAAACTGCCTGGAACAAAGTTATGACAAAAAGTATTACAGCAGAGGTGTTATTACAACCAACAATAAATATTAAATCATAATGACAGGAATAACTTCCGAAGAATTTACTTCCAATAAGCATATGAAGAAACTTCTGCTGCATTCGAAAGAAATATTCACATATGCATAAGAAATTACAAAAAAAATGTGTAAACGCACCGACACAAGTGTATTCACAACACTATCACAGTATGCATGTTACCCATGAAATATTTCCTTGCAGCCGAAAAAGTTGCAGTGAAAGCGACTGATGCCCTCCTGGCCACTATTTACCGTATTCGTGGAACGCCTCCTGCTCTGACTCTCTGAGTGATGGGCCGCCTCTCGACCGGGGCTCTCTGGCACGCCCATTAGCGACCATTAACAGTGCGGCGGTGGGCTCTGGCGAACAATTATCTCATTACGGAACTATTCTGCACGCTGCCGCCGCCGTCGACCGCAGGTCAGTGGAAGTATCTCCTTCATTCGTTACCGGCTCTATACTAAATCGTCGACCGACCGCGTTTAGAGTCGTGGGAAAATGCCCCGAATCGGCGGTAGGAACTATTGTGTGTGTGGTTCTCCCGGTTCCGTGATTGTTATAGATGGATCGTCGAGTGTCTGGTTCTCACAGTTTGTTGCCGTTCATATTTCACTGGTCTGGAAATGGACTGACTGCCTGATAACCTCGCTACATGATGAACAGTTTTCCTCATTGATCCTGATGTGACCTCCGGCAGAATATCAAATGATGGCGCCTCGTTGCTCTCATAACCACTCAGCGATAAAGTTGTGAAGATGAGTTCTGGACATTGGTTAAAACGCTACGGAGATTAACGCATGACGGGTTTTTACCGATAAGAAACCCATCGCCGGTTGCGTGTTGAACAAAGCCGAGCGGCGCGGGTATTAAACAACCCATCCTGTCCACCGGGACTGTATATAACGCCCCAGCTGTGTATAATGCCCGTGGCCTATGGGTGCGCCATGATTAAATGGTATCCTCGGCAGCAGTATATACCTCACCTATCAACGGCTCACGTAAATCACAGCGGCGTGACCTGACCCGGCGCCGGCGAGTGGCGGTGCTGAGTTTTCTCACAGCCTGTGAACACTCGCCGGGAGGGATTAGCTTCTGGACTCTCTGACATTTGAATTTAAGTTTGACAAATGTCTGTCTTCAACAGGGCTTTTGGATATAATCTAAGATGACTTAACATTGAACTGCACTACTGAGCTTTGCCATGATTCGACACAAACCATGACGAAATGATGCTCATGTCTACAGAGACATGGGTATCATGTCTACATGAGTTGACCAGCCTGTCTTCTATGTACAGGCTGTTGAACTGACAGACTGGTCAGCACAGTTTTGGCTTGTATTTTTACATAGCCTGCTCGTGAGCAGTGAACATGTCTGGAACATTGTTTCTATGGAAATAATAGTATTGCTGAAGTACTTATCCAGTCATGTGAATTGATAAATCACATTTTTTTTCTACACCGCCACCCATTATCAGGTGACCAGGAGTGCCCCCTCCCTCTATCCCAACGACACACAGAACCTTACGTTAACACCACCAGGAAAATAATGAAGACAATTGTCGCGGCACTCCCAGCTAGGAAATGAAACAAACTCAAGGAAGCAAAAAACGAGACACATTATCATGCTGTTAGTATAAAGGTGTAAGAGAAGGCATAGTAGTCATAACTGAAAACAGTTAGTGACTAGTTTCTAATTCCCAGGAGTACACATTCGTTCATGCATCCACACAGGAGCAGTGTTAGAAGGATTCAGATGAAGGGAATCATGCATGCAGGGGTATTATGTACAAATCTGCTGGTCAGTATTCAAGCTGGGTCATTTACTGAATCTCCGTCGTTTTGCCCAGCTAAGCGAGGCTTGTTGCTGGGCAACCAACGGAGATCAGTTCCATGAGAATGAGTGGTTATGTAGAGTATGCAAGGGAAATGAAAAAAATATACTAGTAATAATAATAATAATAATAATAATAATAATAATAATAATAATAATAATAATAATAATAATAATAATAATAATAACAATAATAATAATAATAGTAAAAAATAATAAAAATAATAATAATAAATAAAAACAATGGTGAAGAAAAATAAACCATGGGGTAAGAGTAAAGATATCATGATAGTGCACCATATGATTTATAGTTTTCATAATGTTACGAACCTCCACAATATACTTAATGTGAGAGTATTGTATTACATAATCAATACTGGCTCAAAAAGTAGTTTTTTGTTAGTCTTTTTATTGTGTGTTTTGAATGAGGCACCAGAGGCACAGCAGGGTAAACGGGAACCATTATCTGATTCCACAGCCTTGGACCAGCCCATGAGATTGTGTGTGTTTTATACAATTTGTACGAAAATATTTCTTTGAAGTGTTTGTTATAACGACTGTTTCTATTTTGGTCTACTCTCTCAAATAATTCATCAATCGAAAGTGGTAAGATTCCTTGAATCTTTTTATGTAGTAGTAACAACATCTGTTGTCGCCCGATGTCCTGGATACGAAGAAGTTTAAATTTTTTGAAGATTGGTGCAGTGTGCGCTAATCTACATTGGCCGTCTATTAATCTAACGGCACGCTTCTGTATTTTGTCTAATTCACCTAGGTTTGTTAAGTACGTATTACTGTAGATAAAGCAGCAATAATTAACGTGAGACAGAAAGAGTGAGTTGTAGAGCAATAACAAATGTTTACTGTCCAGGAAAAATTTCAATTTAAACATATTACCTACATTTCTCGACAGTACTTTCTGGAGTTTGGAGATATGAGTTCTCCACTTCATATCATCATCTATGAAAATACCAAGATATTTAACAGTATTGGTACGTTGTAATATCACACCATTCAGTTCAATTCGCAATTCAAGTTGTCGTTTCTTGTTCGTGTATATCTGATAATATGTTTTATCAGCATTGAGAGACAGTTGGTTAGAAGTTAACCATTCAGCTACCTTTGGCATCAAGGTATTTAATCTTGTTTGTAAAATATGCTCACTTTCCCCTTCTATTAAAATAGCAGTGTCATCGGCATATAAGAGTGTACTTATGTGTTCACCACATATCAAAGGGAGATCATTTATATAAAGTATAAACAGAAGTGGTCCCAAAATTGATCCCTGAGGGACTCCAATATCAATTGGAAGGAAGGATGAACGCATGCCATTTATTTCCACACACTGGGTACGGTCACTGAGATATGAGTGAAGCATCATATGGGCATCTTCAGAAATACCGTACTGAAGTAATTTTCTAAGAAGAATTTCCTTGTCAACAGTATCAAATGCTTTACGTAAATCGAGATAAATGCCGCACATGTTCGAATCACTTTCAAACGCACTTATGATTTTGTCTTGTAATAACACTATAGGCATGTATGTACTCATGCCAGATCTAAAGCCAAACTGTTTGTCACTGATAATTTGGTTTAAGAATAAGTGTTGGCTTAAACGAGCATATATTATCTTTTCTAATAGCTTAGAAATAACTGGAAGTAACGATATTGGTCTATAGTTATTAAAAATATGTTTGTCGCCGGCTTTATAAATTGGTTTTATAACTGCTTGTTTTAATAATATCGGAAAGACACTATTCTCAAGACACAGATTTAAAAAATGTACAATTTGTATCATTATAGCACTGAATGTTGATTTAAATATTTTGGTATTTATTTTATCATGACCACCTCCCACATTTCGCATATCATGAACAATCTTCTTTACTTCTTCCTCATCTGTTCTACACAATTCACGTAGCGGAATTCCTACAAAGTTAGGAAGATAATCTATCGGATCTTTATTGGAATGGTTGATGTTATTTTTAAGCTTCCTTCCAACGCTGGTAAAGTAGGAATTGAAGCTTTCGGCAATGTTTTTAGGGCCTTCCACCAGGCCACTATCGGTGTAGATGGCGCCAGCCAGATTTGGTGCATTGTGGTACTTGTCCGTGTTGCATTATCCTTTTCCGGCCTGTCTGATTTACCTATGCCTTTGGTTTACATGTTGTTCTGTGTTGTCATCACTCCCCGCCCTCTAGCCGGGTTTGTTGCGTCAGAATTCTGGCAGCTTTAGAGATGCGCGTCGAGCGAGGCGGATAAAATGTATAGAAGGCGTGTGTTTTCTGCCGAGATATTGAAGATTTAACCATGAGAAATATTATTGTATTCGTCGCGTGGATTTGGAATGCCAAACATGCTTAATTTGATATTTGTGCGAGTGATGGTGAAATCTCGGTACGTGTCAGTGTGCGACACTATTTCGCTCTTTTCGGCGGGTGCGTCTGGCCCGAGAGGTTGTGTCGGCTGCGGTGCTGGTTTTGGACAGAAGGTGGGTGGATATTGATCGATGATTGTCGTAAATTTGTTGCTAAAGGAATGTTGATTGCTTTGTCAGGCGTTAGATTTATTTTGCATACGTATTTCGGTAGTTATAATATGCTCATAGGACGGCATGAGATTTCGCCTCAGGTGCGTCATTTTGCAGTGTGTTCTGTTTGTATAGGTGCCCGGGGAGGAGCTCGGCCTGTGCGAGCCCGGTTTTCCCCGTGGCTGAGTGCGCCGTGTGACGAGGCCGCGGTACGAGGTCGGCTGCGGCACGAGGTCGGCTGCGGCACGAGGTCGGCTGCGGCACGAGGTCGGCCGCGGCACGGGGTCGGCCGCGGCACGAGGTCGGCCGCGGCACGAGGTCGGCCGCCGGGAGGTCGGCCGGCGCGAGCCTGCTGCGGTGCGAGGTCGGCCGCTGAGAAAAGGGCGTGGAGACCCTTACAGCCGGTAGGATATGTTTATTTGTTTATTAACTTCGAGGTGATATTTGTAGGGGAATTGTGTTAGCTAGAGAGTGGGAAGTGTAAAACGGAAATTGCTGTTAAATGTATTATTGTTTTCATTTAATCTAAACCAACATATGTTGTATGTACTGCGCAGTGCGAGTGTCGATGTGAGCGCTGGTGGATTCGTGTCCTAGTATGCTCGCTGACGCCCTGCTGTGCTCCACAGTAACGAATCAGTTTAAATACAACTATTCAGTCAACGGCGTGGTCTCGACGTGCGTGAGCAGCTGAGCTTGGAGTCGTGGACGCCCGGCGGCGGTCGCCTGTGGCGACTGCTGCACCACAGCGTCGGCTGTGGAAACTACAGTTACGGCTGGGCCTCCGTCTACACTCTGGCTGTGCAGCAACGGCTGGGTCAGCTGCAGCCGGCTGCTGCTGCAACTCCGGGTAACCTGCTGCTTCAGCTGCATCTAGCTGCGCTTGATACCGGTGAGATGTGACTGACCTGTGCTGTTGCATAGGAGTTTGGCGTTCTGCCAGGAGTGAGTCTGGCATTCTGCCAAGAGCGAGTCAGACGTTTTTGCCAAAGTGAGTCTGGTGCCTTGCCAGACAGAGATTGACATTTCTGCGACCTGATCTGGCACTCTGCCAGAACAGGGTCTGTGTTTGGTGTTCTGCCAGGACTGAGGTTTGGTCCTTGGCTTTCTGCCAGGACTTGAGAGCAGTGACGGGGAGCTAGCTGGTGGGGGTGCACAGTTGTGGTTCCCGTGTGCGTGGGTGCTGACGCTATTAGTGTTAGAGACGTTGACGTTAGGTCAGTGATGAGCGCGTTTTTGATTAACTAATGTGTGTTGTGTATTCTTAGCTTTGTAGTTTGTAGGGTGTGTAGTTTTAAGTACTGGCTGGGCGTTCCTACCAAATCCTGAACCATCCCTGAACTATGAGTATCACTGCACTGACTAAGGAGGAGTTGGGGAGACTTAAGGTCTCAGACTTGAGGAAGGAGCTAGAGGAGTTAAACTTAGATGTAACCGGGACTAAAGTAGAACTTGTAGAGAGGCTGTGGGGTGCTATCGAGGGACGCGCGTCAGGTGAAACAGAGATTAAGAGTGTTAGGACTGAGGCGCAGGACGTGGGTAGCGCAGAGACCCAGGCCCAAGTGAGTGTTGCCCCCCTGCGTGGTGCGGGTGCGACCTCATCTGAGGGGCCGCCCGGTACCTCAGCTAGCATGCTGAGGCTGAAACTTAAACTTATAAAGTCTAAACAGGAGGTAGAATCGGACGTGATCAGGGTTCGAGCTCAAGCTCAGCAGGAGGAGCTTAGGCTCAGGGCTCGGTCCGAGCAGTTGGACCTGGAGCTACAGCTAGCGGAGATGGGGGAGGTAGACGAGTCTGCGTGGGAGCCCCTGAGGGTGGCGGCTGGGGCTATGGTCGAGACCCCTTCTGTGGAGAGTGAGCTGTCTCCCCTGGTGAGAAGGTCGCTCCTCCCTCCTGCCGAGCTGCGTCCCTTCACTGGTGCGGTGGAGGAATTCAACCTTTTCATGAAAGCTTTTGACTCGCGTATCGCCAAGAAAACAAATGACAAGGGGGAGCTTCTTTTTTATCTGGAGCAGTATACTAGAGGTAAGGCCAATCAGCTGGTAAAGGGATGCCTCCACCTGGGAGATGAGGGGTATGAGGAGGCCAGGCGGCTGCTGGAGAACCGGTACGGGAATCCGATCAGACTAATTGACTCTTACGTCGGGAGGGTGGATGGCTGGCCACGCATCCAGGCTGGGGATGTGGAGGGGCTGGATAAATATTCACTCTTCTTGACTGAGGTCATGAATGCTATGACCGGGGTGACGATGGGGGAGTTTGAGCACCCGTCCACCCTCCGGCTGGTCGTATCCAAGGTCCCCGTCTACCTTCAGGATAGGTGGATGAGGGAGGCGGACCGGCTGTGCGAGAGGGGCGATCCTGTGCGTTTCTCAGACCTGGTGTCTTTCATCAGCGCCGAGGTGAGAGTGCGGAGGAGCCCGCTCTTCGGTCCCAGGCCGCCCGCTCCGTCCCGTTCCGATGCTGGTGCGCCTCATCCTGGCAAGTTCAGGGTGAACACGGCCAAGGTGGGTGAGCCTGGTGGCCGGCGCTGCGAGTACTGTGGGTCGGCGCATGACATTGGTAGTTGTCAGGCCCTGAGAGAGAGACCCTGGGGAGAGAGGAGACGGGCACTCATGCGATTCCAGCTGTGCTTTGGGTGCCTGCGGAGAGGGCACCGTGTGCAGGCCTGTCGGAGGCCGCTGCAGTGTGATGTCTGCCGGGGTGCGCATCCGTCTGTGCTGCACCGGGAGAGTTGTCCGGGACCGCTCGGAGGACCTCCGGTGACGCCGCGCGGGGCGGGTGTGGTGATGCCGTCCAGCGGCGGGTCCGGTGCGAACGTAGTGAGCGCTAGTCTCGGCCTGAGGGGAGTCAGTCGGACGGCGCTGCCTATTGTGGCGGTGCGGCTCAGGGCCACGACTGGCAAGGTTCTGGTAACGAACGCTCTGCTGGACCAGGGGTCCTCTGGCAGCTTCTTGACAGAGAGGTTGGCGGCGCGTTTAGGCGTGCGGATTGAGCGGACGACAGTATCTATCGAGACAGTGGGAACTGACCGGAAGACTATCCCGACAGCCATGGCCTCTGGGTTAGAGGTGAGCGGCGCGGACGGCGGCACGTTTCATTCGCTGCCTAATCTGTGGACTGTCGACTCTCTGCCCGTGACATTAGATGACAGGTGTAGTTCCGACGAGCTGAGTGGTGCCGCGCACCTTCAGGGTGTCAGGCTGTGCGAGGCCGATTCCCCAGTCGAGCTGCTCTTGGGCTCAGACTGTGCCGCACTGATTGTGGCCAGGGAGGTGCGGGCCCCTCCGATGGGGGAGGAGGGACTCTGTGCTGTGCGGACCAATGTAGGATGGTATATCATCGGCTGTGCCCAGGGGGCAGATGTGTCGGGAGGGCGACTGAGTGTGAACTTCCTGAGGGTCATGGACGCGTGTGTGACCGAGCCGGACGCCGGCGGCGGCGAGTGTCTTTACCGAAAGCTGTACGAGCATGAGTTCGGTGACTTGTCGGATGATAGGGAGGGCCTGTCGGTTGAGGACCGTGAATGGATTGACTTTGTCAGATCTAACATGGTAAGGGATGACGGGGGACAGTTTGTTATTCCCCTCCCCAAGGATGACTTTGGCGAGCTGCCAGATAGTCTCCAGACGGCCTCCCGACGACTGGAAGCGCTGAGGAGGCGTTTCCGATCTGACAGAGAGTACTTTGAGATGTACCGCAGCGTGATCTCCTCACTCGAGGAGGACGGCTACGCTGTCCCGGTGTCCGACGGACTGACTGACAGTGACCACCCTGTATGGTATATGCCACACCACGGGGTGATGGAACCCGAGAAAGGTAAATTGAGAGTTGTCTTCGATTGTGCCGCAAGGAGTCACGGTGTGTGCCTGAACGATCTACTGAAGGGGGGACCGAATTTGACTAATTCGCTGCTCGGTGTGCTGTGCCGCTTCCGGGAGGGCCCGGTAGCATTCACCTGTGATATCGCTTCAATGTATCATAGAGTGAGGGTCCCGGAGCCTGACACCAACCTGCTGCGGTTCCTGTGGTTTCACGGCTCTGACCCGGAGGGCGAGGTTCGGGTGTGGAAGATGACGTGTCACGTGTTCGGTGCCGTTTCGAGCGGCAGCGTGGCGAGCTTTGCGCTCAGACAGTGTGCGGAGGAGGGGCGGTCGCAGTTCCCCGAGGCTGCTGACGCACTGACCCGCAAATCCTATGTAGACGACGTCCTCTGTGCTACGTCCTCCGTGGAGGGAGCAGTTAAACTGGCGAGTGATCTGAAAGAGCTGTGTAGCACGGGAGCGTTTAATTTGACAAAGTACAGGAGTAACAGCTCAGATGTCCTTCGTCAGATTCCAGTACAGGATAGAGGGAAGAGCGTCAAGGAGCTGGACCTGGGCAAAGATAGTCTCGGTTCTGATCGTCTCCTGGGTCTCAGGTGGTCGATGGAGGATGACTGTTTCTGTTTTCAGTTCCGTGATAAACAGAAGCCGGTGACTAGGCGCGGCATCCTCTCAACCGTGAGCTCGGTGTTTGACCCGCTGGGTGTGATCGCGCCGGTGACTGCTTGGCCGTGCATTGCTCCAACGACTGTGTGCCCTGTCGTACCGATGGGACGAGCCTCTCCCTGATGTGTTGCAGAGGGAATGGCGGGAGTGGGTAGAGCTGGCGGGTGAGCTCGATCGAGTCAGGCTCAGCAAGTGCATCTCTGATCTGCCAGGAGAGGTGCTTGCCACCGAGCTCCACGTGTGTGCGGACGCCAGCGAGACGGCGCATTCCGCGGTCGCGTACCTGGTGAGAGAGGTGAGGACTGCGGGTGGGGGAACTGAGCGGTCTGTCCACTTTCTGATGGGCAAGTCGCTGGTGAACCCGGTCCGTTTCGTCTCCATCCCGCGACTGGAGTTGGCTGCCGCTGTTCTGGCGGTCAAGATTAGGCGCGTGCTGGTCAGGGAGTTGGACACTGTGTTCGACTCGTTCAACATGTGGTCAGACAGCATGGTGGTGCTGGGCTACGTGCGGAACAGATCGACGCGATTTAAAACGTATGTGGCGAACCGAGTCGCATACATTCACGATGGGTCTGACGTGTGCGAATGGAGGTATATTCCGTCGGAGATGAACCCGGCTGACGTGGGATCCCGCGGCTGTCGTTCCGCGGGACTGGATCCCTGGCTGGGTGGGCCGGAGTTTCTCCGTGAGGGGACGAGTGGGTGGCCGACTGAGCCGACAGTGACTGTGGTAATCCCTGAGTGTGAGGTGAAGGCGACACCGGTCGCTGCGGTCCGTGTGGAGCCCGAGTGTAGCGAGGGCAGTTCGTCTGATATCCTGATAAGGCACTTCTCCTCTTTCAGCCGGCTTCAGCGAGCGGTGGCCTGGCTGAGGAGATTCATTGATGTGATCCGTGACGGTTCCTTCCGTAGGTGGTGTATGAGGAGGAGAGGTCTGAGGCGGCGAGAGAGTAGTGCAGCTCGAGAGCTGAGTGTGTCCGATCTGAGGGCGGCGGAGCGTGCAGTTCTGCGATACGTTCAGCAGAGCTCGCTGCCCGAGTTTCCGCAGGGCGGTGACGACGGTCCAGTCCGCGTGAGAAAGGCTAGTGGGCTGAGTCGTCTGAATCCGCACATGGTCGGCGGACTTCTGGTCGTTGGGGGGAGGTTGTCCCGAGCTGGCTGTCTGTCTGACGAGGTGAAACATCCCGTGATCCTCCCTCGGCGCCACCATGTGACCCAGATGATTATCCGTGAGACTCATCGGAGGGTGGGACACCAGGGTCGTGACCATACCTTTTGGGAGCTGAGGCGGAGGTATTGGGTCATAGGAGCGGGCCCGGAGGTTAGACGAGCGATCCGCTCGTGTGTCACGTGCCGTAAGGTGAACGCCAGGCCCCAGCAGCAGCTGATGGCGGAGCTGCCGCAGGAGCGAGTCGTGGGGGAGAGACATGCCTTTTCCTCTGTGATGTTGGATGTGTTCGGTCCCATCATGGTAAAGGCCGGACGCGTTGAACGCAAACGGTACGGCCTGATGTGTGTGTGTACTGTGACGCGTGCTGTCCATGTCGAGTTGCTGGACTCGTTACGTACCGACTCGCTGATTAACGCCGTGAGGAGGATCAGTGCTCGTCGTGGGCCGATCCAGTATATCAGGAGTGACATGGGAACAAACATGACAGGGGCAGACAGAGAACTGAGGGAATCTCTGAGGGAAGTAGACAGGAGTGGGCTGTCGCGCGCAGCGCTGAGGTACGGGATTGAATGGGTATTCAACCCGCCTACTGCGTCGCATTTTTCGGGTAGTGTGGAGCGACAAATACGAACTTTCCGAAAGATCTGGCGGTCGATGCCGCTGCAGCAGCGTGTGGACGAGGAGTCCCTTCACACGTTGTTCTGTGAGATTGAGATGATAATGAACGGCCGTCCGTTGACTTTTGTTTCTACCAGCTCGGGCGAGGTTGAGCCGCTAACCCCGAGCCATTTGCTTTTTCTGAGAGGCAGCGCGGGCCCGATCCCCGGGTTGTATGATGAGGCTGACTTGCTGTCCAGGCGGCGCTGGCGGCAGATTCAGTATCTAGCCCAACAGTTTTGGGTCCGCTGGAGACAGGAGTATTTGCTGTCACTTCAGTCCAGACAGAAGTGGACGCGGGAGGTGAGAAATATGCGGCCGGGGGACGTCGTTCTGCTCGTGGACCGTGACGTTCCGAGGGGGCTGTGGCAGATGGGGCGGATTGTGGAGGCAATCCCAAGTCAGGATGGGCTGGTCAGGAAGGCGGTAGTTAGGATAGGCGCGTCAACATACCTGCGTCCCATTCATAAAATGGTACTGATCTGCTCAGAGTCTGAGCTAGACTGAGTGAGTTAGGCACGCGAGTGTGCAGACGGACTTCTGAGGTCAGTTGTGTCATGTGTCGGGTGTTCTGAGGTCAGTGCTTCTCATCGCGTCAAAATTCCTGTTGGAGTATCGCGCTGGCGCCGGTTTTTCTAGATTCGATCCATCTGATCGAATGGGGGAGTGTAGATGGCGCCAGCCAGATTTGGTGCATTGTGGTACTTGTCCGTGTTGCATTATCCTTTTCCGGCCTGTCTGATTTACCTATGCCTTTGGTTTACATGTTGTTCTGTGTTGTCATCACTCCCCGCCCTCTAGCCGGGTTTGTTGCGTCAGAATTCTGGCAGCTTTAGAGATGCGCGTCGAGCGAGGCGGATAAAATGTATAGAAGGCGTGTGTTTTCTGCCGAGATATTGAAGATTTAACCATGAGAAATATTATTGTATTCGTCGCGTGGATTTGGAATGCCAAACATGCTTAATTTGATATTTGTGCGAGTGATGGTGAAATCTCGGTACGTGTCAGTGTGCGACACTATTTCGCTCTTTTCGGCGGGTGCGTCTGGCCCGAGAGGTTGTGTCGGCTGCGGTGCTGGTTTTGGACAGAAGGTGGGTGGATATTGATCGATGATTGTCGTAAATTTGTTGCTAAAGGAATGTTGATTGCTTTGTCAGGCGTTAGATTTATTTTGCATACGTATTTCGGTAGTTATAATATGCTCATAGGACGGCATGAGATTTCGCCTCAGGTGCGTCATTTTGCAGTGTGTTCTGTTTGTATAGGTGCCCGGGGAGGAGCTCGGCCTGTGCGAGCCCGGTTTTCCCCGTGGCTGAGTGCGCCGTGTGACGAGGCCGCGGTACGAGGTCGGCTGCGGCACGAGGTCGGCTGCGGCACGAGGTCGGCTGCGGCACGAGGTCGGCCGCGGCACGGGGTCGGCCGCGGCACGAGGTCGGCCGCGGCACGAGGTCGGCCGCCGGGAGGTCGGCCGGCGCGAGCCTGCTGCGGTGCGAGGTCGGCCGCTGAGAAAAGGGCGTGGAGACCCTTACAGCCGGTAGGATATGTTTATTTGTTTATTAACTTCGAGGTGATATTTGTAGGGGAATTGTGTTAGCTAGAGAGTGGGAAGTGTAAAACGGAAATTGCTGTTAAATGTATTATTGTTTTCATTTAATCTAAACCAACATATGTTGTATGTACTGCGCAGTGCGAGTGTCGATGTGAGCGCTGGTGGATTCGTGTCCTAGTATGCTCGCTGACGCCCTGCTGTGCTCCACAGTAACGAATCAGTTTAAATACAACTATTCAGTCAACGGCGTGGTCTCGACGTGCGTGAGCAGCTGAGCTTGGAGTCGTGGACGCCCGGCGGCGGTCGCCTGTGGCGACTGCTGCACCACAGCGTCGGCTGTGGAAACTACAATCGGTTTTAAATGCTTCTGGCAATCTGGTGTTATCCGGAGCACCTGATGTTAGTTAACCCGCGCCCTGCTGGGGGGGGGGGGTGTTTGAACACCCCCCTTGTGGTTTTTCGCGAATATCTCAAAAACGGCGGCGCGGAGCGCCGCCGTTTTTGGTACACCTTATCATACATCAATTCTACACATGTTGTAAAAATTTCAGACCAAGGTCATTCAAGGTCAGGTCACCAGGTCACTTGAAGTGACCTCACCTCATAAAAAGTTTCAATGTCTGTCATAGTTACACCGAGTGACCGATTGCTTTGAAACTTTCAGCGATTGCTAAGAGCAATAGCATGTACAAAATGTATATCTCAGAATTTTGATATCGATGACCTAAGGTCAGGTCAATTTTGCGACCTCCCCATTACAAGTCAATGGGAGAAAATTGAAATGCGCTTCTTTTGGACGAAAGACATTATAAACACTCCCAAACACTGAATTACAAGTGGTTTAGACACACTGAACATGAAAATCGTGTCCGTGACCCCTGTTTATGCCCTGAGGTCATCTTAGGTCACGAATGGTATCTAACAGTTTTTCGCAAATAACTTTTGATAGAGGCATGCTAGAGCGATGAAAACGCCTTAGATGTGTTCAGCTCGACGATACGGATCGACTGATATGCAACATGACCCTTTCCGGTCAGGTCATGACCTTGACCTGAGGTCAAATTTTCAAATTGACCTTTCAAGGTCAAATTATAGTTCATTCGATGTGTCTTGACGAGAGGAACACGATGCCGGTAAAAGTAAGCTCGTACAAGGCTTGGGTCAAAAGTTATTGCAGAAAAACTGTTTCCGAAAAAATCGGCTATTTTTGCAGTTTTTGCCCCCTGCAGGCAAAACCGTTGACGTTAGGTCAAATCTGAGGAATTACTCAGAAAGGGCGTTAATAGGGCTATCGAATGCGCTTTTCTGCGGCGCTGTAGCTCTTTTGGTTCCAAAGTTATGCGTTGGCTTCTTGGAAATTGTCGACATTCGACCTGGAAATCGGCGAAATTTTGCCTTCAATGACCTCTGGTGACCTGACCTTTGACCTGAGCAAAAAATTGACCGAAGTGATTTCCTCATTATTTTTTACGCTTTTTCGAACGCCGCCTTCCGCGTATCGCTACGTGGCCCAGGAGCCGAGTTAGAAGGGGGGTGTTCAAACACCCCCCCCAGCAGGGCGTGGAAATCCAGGACCCCCAGCCGGGCGCGGGTTAATGATGCCCCAAGTCTTTTTGGGATCCGAAGTTTTTAGGTTATTTTGTATGTATGCTTTCTTTGCTTCACGTATAATACCTACAAGCACGTTACGGTATTTGCGATATTTAGTTATGTTTTCGTAAGAAGGTGTTTTATTTTTTACCAAAAACAGAACATTTTTTCTCACTATTGATGTTAGAATTCCTGGAGTAATCCAAGGTTTTTTGGAAGTATTTTTTCGTGATGGCACGAAGGTCTTGCTGAATTTCCGTATTCCAACAGCGTAGGACTCAATAATCCTCTCACATGCTACATTAGGGTCCGTTACATGTAAAAGGTCATGTAAGTCATTCTGCAAATGATTTTGCAGATCAGCTACCTTATTATAGTTAAAAACTGTGATGGCATTCATCATCCTATCATTGCTAGGTTTCGCTGCTTTAATGGTTATGAATACTGGAAAGTGATCTGACAAATCATTATATATGATTCCTGGACCACTTGTAATTGATATATTGTTGCAATATATATTGTCTATAAGCGATGCTCTAGTCTCACATTCTCTGGTTGGTAGAGAAATTAGGGGAAGAAAACCAAAGGACAACAGCATATTAAAAAATACTTCAACGTCATGGTCGTTGTTGATATCATATAGGTCATAGTTAAAATCACCAGCGATGATTACTGGATGAGTAGGTGTAGTGATGGTTTCAAGAATAAGAGACATCTGTTCATTAAACTGAGCTGGGCAAATATCTGGAGGTCTGTAGAACTGTGCGATAGTTACTTTAGAAGAAGGTAAGCTGCACTGCACTACAACCGACTCCGTGCCAGTCGGAGACTCCATGACCAGGCGAGTGGTGGAGACGAAACCGTCTGTCCGTACGTATACGGCTGATCCACCGCCCACTCGTCCAACTCGATTTTCATAAAATGCAGTGTATCGTTCTATGTTACGGTGTTTCTCAATTTCGTCGTTTAACCATGTTTCCGATATACATATAACGTCCCATTGTATATCCGTCATGTGCAGAAAGGTAAGAAGGGATTCATACTTTTCAGTACTTAAAAGTGACCGAACATTAATGTGTATAACATACAGCTTTTCTGGGTCTTTAGAGCCAGTAGGTACATCACTTGTGAGTACATAGTATTTGCAGCTTGTTCTTATTGATTCAAAATCATGATTGACAGTCTCGTCTGAATCTCATTTGACTGAATCTCACTGCAGCGAATTTGTGTGTAAGTTCTGGTAAGAAGACTCGAGTCCTGGACCCTAACTGCCCTTCCAATAAAGCATTTCTCCCTCACATCTGAACCTTCAGAGCCAGGTCCAGGTGACCGGTTTTATTATGGCCTCATGGGCCTGTTATCAGTGCCCCGGCGTTTAACGACATCCCCGCCCGTTCTCCCGGCACCTAATGAAAGCAAAAACAAAGGCGTCCCGCTGCCGCCGGTATAGTACGTCGCTATCGGAGATAATCGGCCCGATAGCTGGGAGCTGCTGGCGGCGGTAGCAGCCGCGCCGGATATGTCTCGTCTGCGCCGCCGCTGTCCCAGCGGTGGTCAGGAGGCACGTGACCGGACAATCAGGGGACGGGAGGGCACAGATGGGCAGATTGTATCGCCTCACAGTGGGAATTCCTCCTCACACACATAACCAAAGCCTCCGACCCGTCCACACTGCTCAGTACATACACCCGCCGGCGCAGACAGACACACAGACGGCTGTCGGCCGATCGCCGGCCCGATGATCGTGCATATTTAATGAGCGGCGCGGCGGGCGTCTCCCGGGGGCGGCTCGGACGCT